TCTGACAACTTCTATTAATGGAACTAATTGAAGCTAATATCATGTGGTGGTTTTCTTTTAATTCATTACACCCGTCTGGATCTTCTGCACCATTATGGTTGACATCGTCATTTGGTCTTCTACCTATTCATCACTCCATATAATTTTCATTAAGCCATTCTTGTATTATTCTCCTAAATTGCGCAGGAACACCATCCATTTGTATCCAGCTATTTTGTCGTATATTTAATGGAACATCCTCTAATAATTCAAATAGATGGTTTTCTAGAAAGTTTAGAAATGACTGGGAATTTAGATGGGGTGGCAAGAAGAAAGGTCCACAAACTTTATTGCGAATTATCCCGCGCCATACTTTCACAGAAAAGATCTTGTTCGAATTTCATGAGGATTTTCTTGTGCCAAATATCCAGATTGTGAAAATTCACTACCTCTCGTCTTGTGAACGTAGCCTCATCGGTCCAAAGTATTTCTAGTAAGAATTCAAACAACCACTGATAAAAATTCAGGCATTTCTCTGCATCTCCCGGAAGTAAATTTTGCACAGGTTGTAAATGGTACGGATTCCTGCCAGATCCTTATGTAGAACTTTTCAAATTTTCGATTTACTCACCCCAAGTTACCGAGACGTTTTTCGTGTATTTAGCCGAGGATTGCCGTCAAATGCTTTTAAAATTTCATTTCTGTGACTCATTGGTTCATCGTGATTTTCCAAATATCGTTTTAATCCAAAAAGATGAAAGCGATGAGTGTAAAGAATTTTGTTGATGTGCTTACAAATTGCACTTACTTTTAAGCATAAACATAAACATACTTGTAATATTATGGTTAGAAGTGTCTGCGACAAGGGAATTGTATTAGCATGAATAACTTGAGAAAGGTAAACTTTAGGGAAAAAATCAAGTTACCTTTTTTACGTATTTTGTGCATTAGAATATAAATCCGTTACAACAGCTTGTAAAAAATACAGCGGCGTTGTTTTTTTTTTTATAAAAAAGGGATTACCCTGTCCAGTTGTACACCACTGGTTTAACCTTTAGAGCTCATATTTAAGGAAATACAAGGTCTACTATCATACATTATCTGTACTAAATTTTATTGAAATCGGTCAATGGATTCCGGAGATATAAACAAAAAATCACTTTTTTTTAACAACTTCAACACCCTGCATCTCTAAAACGAGACCGTTCCAGACCTATGTTTATAAGGCAAACACCTATTATTTTAAAGAGATCTTTCTGCCCTCGAAGTTTCCTGCATAAAATTCGGATCACCCTGTATACAGGGTGTCTCATAATAACGTGTCCAACGGAAGACCACAGATTCGTGGAGTCAAAATAGGCAGATCTAGACTAATTCATCTATTTCCGAAATTTTGAATTTTGTAAATAACTCGAATACGTATTAATCGATTTTGAATATTTTTGGGGTGTAGAGTTTTACTTTCGATTTACACAATTTGGTGTTATACAGAGTGTTTTTTTAACCTACAACTCCTACAAAATTGATGTATGGTGAAAATATCCGTTAATAACTTTTCCTCTTTCGAGCAATAATCACAACTATTTTTATCTGATACGTGATACCATTTGGAAGTTTTTGGGCCTCTTGTAGAATTTTGATTAAATGAGCGGTTTGTGTACAAAAAAATATTTTTTTAAATGTCTACATTATCGTGCCACCCATATTACAGTACTTAACAAAGTGCGAATAGGCGTTGATTTTGTAGGTTGACTGTAATTTTAGTCTGATTTGTATGTCATTGTGCCTGACAATTCTTAATGAGTGTTTACGACGATAATATATACCACCTGTTACTTAATTTTTCGATATGGATACACACATACGACGAATTAGAGTTATTTATAATGTGCCTAATTTTATTCAAATAATTAGAAAAAAAACATTCAAATACAACGCTTTGATAGCATTATTATTGTCCCTGTTATTCTATCCCATTGTCATAACCCATATCCTTCTTGTCGAATATGTCAGGATGGCAGTAGACAGATAGTCCATAGACTGAATGGGTAATTTTATTTAAAATTTTTGCAAAACACTTTCCCCGAGTTATTGGAAGGTGTGCTGTTATTACTGAGAGCTAACATGTGGTTTATGCATGATGGAGCTCCACCACATTTCACTGTATATATCTGGCAGTATCTGAATCAAAGATTCTCTCGTCGATGGATCGGTAAAAGGGATAATGCTCTTGTTAACTGGCTTGTACGTTCACCAGACTTAATACCTTGCTTAATCTTTGGGCACTCTGAAAACAACAGTGTATGCTTCCACAAGAGTTGTGGAGGCATATTCTAATTGCCATAAATGTTTTAAAAAAATTGCCCTCAGGAATTGCAAAGGGTGTCCTTTAACTTTCTTCACTGAATTAACTTTGATGTAGAAACAACGGCGATCATTTTGAACAGTTTTTATAGTTGTACTAAATTTAATAACATCAACATTGTTACTTTTATCCAGAATTTTTTATTGTATTTTATTGTTTTTACTAATTATCTCAATAAAATTAATTAACTCTAATTCGTCGTGTGTGTGTGAATTCATATCGAAAAATTAAGTAACATGTGGTATATCTTATCATAGTAAATACTCATTAAGAATCGGCAGGTACAGTAACTTAAAGATCAAACTGAAATTACAGTCAACCTACAAAATCAGCGCCTACTACTACTTTGTTAAGCATTGTAATATGGGTGACGAGATGTAGACATTTAAAAAATATTTGTTTGTACCTAAACCGGTCACTTAATCAAAATTCTACAAGAGTCCCAATAACTTCCAAATGATATCACCTATCAGATAAAAAATAGTTGTAATTATTGCCCGAAAGAGGAAAAAGTTATGAACATATATTATCACCACACATTAATTTTGAAGGAGTTGTAAGTTTTAAAAAACATTCTGTATAACACCAAAATGTGTAGATGGAAAGCAAAACTTCCCCAAAAAGAATCAAACTGGATTAATACGTGTTATTTACAAAATCTAAAAAATTTTCACCAACTTTGAGGCTATCTAGCGGAACGAAGTGATTCTGAATATAGGTGAATTAGCCTAAATCTGCCTATTTTGAGTCCACGAATCTGCGATCTTCCATTGTACACGTTATTCTAGGACACCATGTCTGTTATAAATTCGCTTCTCACTACAGGGATCTCGGAAACGGTAAGAGGTACGAAGTAGCTTAAATGGGGACAAAGTTGCGTAATCAGGGGACCAACATTATGCCTCTAAAAAAGCAAAGCTAACATGATTAGTTCTCGAAATATTTGGAAAAAACCGAAATTTTGGAAATCCGTGTTTGTTTCATTTCAGCCTTGTTTGAGGTGATATTGAAAAAAGGAGAACACTTTCTCATGGCCACTTTTTGCCCTCTATCGAATATATAATCATTTTTTGTATGTAACGTTTCGTCTCTCCAGGACCATCATCAACTTAATTTTTTTTTTAAATACGATCCTGGAAATTTTACATTTTATGCAAGCCTTCATGGCCCCTATTACTGTACTGCCTCAGCTCGAACCAGATTCAGAGGTTTTGTCTAAAAATTCATCTTCAATGTATTCGTTCCAAATGTATCTACTTTCTTTTAAGATTTCTATGTTTCTTGAATTATCCTACAGTCTAAGTGTCGTTAGACTTTATGAAATCCACCTAGTTATTTAAACTATTACCATCACACGTTACAATAAAACATTTTAATTTTTTAATCTCCATCACCCAGTCATACATAATTCGATATGTTGTTGCGTCAAAATTAAAACATTACTACAATTTTAATTTCATTAAGACAAACGTCTGAATCTGGTTCGGGCTGAGGCAATACAGTATAGGGGGTCATGAATGCTTGCAAAAAATGTCATAAAATTTCAAGGGTCGTATATAAAAAAATGAGGTTGATGATAGTCCTGGAAAGACGAAACGCTACATATATAAATTGATTATGCCATTTCATACATCGCAAAAAGTGGCCATGAGAAAGTGTTCTTCCTTCTTCAGTATCGCCTCAAGGCTGAAATGAAACATAAACGGATTTCCAACGTTTTTTTTTTTCAAATATTTCGAAAATTAATCTTGTTAGCTTTGATGTTTTAGATGCATAATGTTGGTCCCCTGATTACACAACTTTGCCCCAATTTAATCTACTTCGGACCTCTTACCGTTTCCGAGATCCCTGTAGTGAGAAGCGAATTTGTAACAACCTGTATACATTAGGATGGCCCAAAAAAACGAATATTTTTTTCCGGTTCTCTTGTGAAAATATGTTAGTTTTATCATGTTTTAATAGCCCCCTCACAAAATCAGCTGAAAAAAAATTTTTTAGAGGTCGCTCAAGATTTTTAAAAATTTCCAAAATCGTCAAAATTAGATTTTTTTTTATTTTATTTCTTGTTATTTTTTCATTTTCTAGGTTGAAAAAAATCTCGATTCTGAAAATTTCAAATCGATATTTTAATTTCTAAAGGTCACTCATAATTATTTTAACTTTCAAAGTAGTGTACCTACCTACCTAAAATGTTTTCGAGCGACCTATAAAAATAAATATCAATGAACTAATATTTTTTTTTATGAATGAATTTATGAATTTGATGAACAAAAGAATAGAAATAAATCACGACACTTAAATTTTAAAAAATTAAAATTTTATAAATATTTGATCAGTGCGGTAGTAAATTTTGCCTCGAGAAATTTTTTATGTCTCGTGATTTATTTCTATATTCTTTTCATCAAATTTAATAAAAAAATTATTAGTTCGTTGATATTTTTTTTAAGGGGTTCTTAGAACATGATAAACAACGTGTTTTCACAAGACACGAAAAAAAAAATTCGTTTTTAATAATTATAATTAATATACATATATATTTATTATGCACTCTGTAGATTCCGTGAAACTTTTTTTTTAGAAACAAATTTCCAATTACCAATTTCTTCACCGCTTGTTGAAGTTTTGAATTTCATAATAGTTCTCTTTTACACTTTAGGTAAAAATGGAGCCTCATGTTCATCAGAAACTGGACAATGCCAATGCCCTGCTGGGTGGGAAGGGCAACAGTGTGATCGTCCATGTAGTAATAATTCTTTTGGTATTCACTGCAACCAGAAATGTGTATGTAAAAATGGTGCCTCATGTAATCCTGTAAATGGTGAGATCAAGATTTTTTAATGCATGATTTATAAATGTCTTTTGCATTAGATATTTTTAATCCATAATTCTAGATTAATATTATTTTTTTGCATGTTTTTGTTGTGTGTAGGAAATTGTACTTGTGGAGCTGGATTTACTGGAGAATTTTGTGAAAATAAATGTGAACAAGAATATTTTGGTATTAATTGTGAACAAATTTGTGTGTGTTACGACGGACATTACTTGGGATGTGATCCAATAACTGGAAAATGTATTTGTAGACCAGAATGGAAAGGTATTTCTTTATGTTACTTTTATTAGAACTATGTACCAAATTTCGCCTATATAGAAAGAACGAAACAAAAGAAAAGTACAGCTTTTTTTTAACATTTTTTCTAATCGTATACTGTGTAATGTATTATAGTGATTGTCATGAAAAATATTCTACTTACTGTGAAATTTTTCTGATCAGGCAAAACTAAATTTATAAAATCAACCCTTTAGCTGATTATTTTGGCAACAAAGGATTAACTATTAAAAAATTTATTTTCAGTGTGGCAGAAACCCAATCAAATAAACTGAAAATGCCGCAAATAAAAAATTATGATAATATATTAGAAACAGTAGAGATAATTTATTTAAAAGTATGCAACTTTATTTAATGATTTGTATATTATGTTATATGTGTTTCTTTAATTGACACTCTTTACAGAGATTATTATACCCTGTGTTCAAAAAGTTTGGAACCCCCTCTATCAGAAAATACAGCTCAAACAAAAAAATTATTAGAGAAATAGTACATGAGAATGTAAAAAATGTAAATTTGACACTATTTCTTTATAGTTTGGACTCGTGTTATTTCCTAGAAAATTTGCGAAACAAAATCGAGCTGCTTTCTCGTTTTGATTCATTTTTGCAACAAAAACAGAATCTCTCAACATCTTACGGATTTGAGGTCTATAAAAAATTCCTTCTTTCAATTTCGCATCACTCAGTTGACTAAACTGCTCTTCCAGATATTTAAAGCAATCTCCATCTTTATTTAGAGCTTTCACCCATTGCTTCATAAGACCCAATTTGATATGAAGTGGCGGAAAAAGGACTTTTAATTGACTAATTAGAGGCTCGTTTATTCTATTTTTAGATCCAGGTATGAAATCTATTCCGGATTTCCAAATGCTCTTTACATAATGGTATACTCGATTTCTACTATCATATTCACATAAAAAACAAAGAATTTTTGTAAATCCTGATTTTTGGCCAAGTATGATCGTGATTATTTTAGGATCACCCCAAATTTGCCATTTATGTTCTTCATATTTTATTCTCTCTAGGAGTTCTTTCATGTTACAGTAATCTTCCTTCATTAATACCGAATGTGCTATAGGAATAGCTGCATAAACATTTCTATTATGCAGTACAACAGCTTTTAAACTTCTTTTTGATGAATCAATAAATAGTTTTCACTTTTCAGAATTATACCATCCGTTTTTCATGTGATTCATTATACCAGTAATATCATTACACTAGACCAAGGAGAATTCCTTATCGAAAAAGAAATATTTTTCGAAATTCCTTATCTCTGTCACGGTAGTGAGATGTTACTATGTATTTACTATGCCTTTGTATTTTTTTAGCCATGCTGCAAGGAATTCCAAGCTGTCTTTTGGTAAACCCAAATTTCGAACACGATTATTTACTTTTTCTTGCGATATTTTCCTAACTTATTCTTCTTACAAGAAATATAGTCGTCGTCACTAGTATTGCTTGAACAGTCAATGGTATTTTCATTCTCACTATAATATTCTGTCTCTGATTCCTTATTTTCTGCCTCCGATTTCTCATTTTCTTATACCCATTTTTCATTTTGTTCCTCTACGGTTTCATCTGCTTCCATTCCTTCTGTAGAATTACTGGTATTTGCTTCCATTGTTTCCGTTTCTTTGTCAGCTGTAGATGAATACAGGGTGATTCAGTCATAATGTCATTAATTTTAAGAGGATATAGAGAAAAATGTGTATAATACGATGACGTGATTAAAAAAAATGCATATTTAAGCTGAAAAAAATTTTTCAAATCATTATTTAACCCCCTTTTCAAGCTGTTAGTAACCGGCTGACGTCAGATTATTCACAGTATTGCGCACGGTTAAATATGAACAAGGTGCCCTAGATGCAACGTTGCTATATTTATATATTTTCGCTCATATAAAGACAATAAATAAACGGTTTGCTCACGTCAGCCAATAATAATTTAAAATACTACAAATTATTTTTTATAATTATGCAATCAACATATTAAATTGTTTTTGTTGCCCAGCAAGAACTTCGAGGAGGTCTGAGCAAGCCTTGCCAAAAATGCGTTTTTATTAACATCATAATGTTAATTTCTTAATTTGCAGTAAGCCTTCGGGCTTACAGCAAATGTTCAAATACATTACCGTTACCGTCTATGCACAAGTGTACAGGGTGGTCCATTTTCGATGGGATTTCAGGGTATCTCAGAAACTACTAAAGGTATGATAAATCTGACACCACGTTCTCTAGCTCGATTTTCATGGCAAACTCGACTGTCAAATCAGAAATTTGCTATCTTCATTTGTTTGAGTTACAGGGCGTTTGTCGTTATTGTGACACTTTTTAACATGTCTGTATCTCAGCTGTTAAATAAGTTAGAGTTAAAGTGAAAACTGCTCAAGACTAATTCTTTGGCGTAAAATTGAATGCCGGTATTAGATTTTTAGTAGGTCTTAAGATTCCGGAGTTATGACCCAAAGTTATAATTTTTTAAATGGAAGTCGTAGCTGGTTATGACCTAAAAAATGGAGATTTTTTTTGCTTTTCAGCAATATACCACATGCTATAGTTATTTTTCCAAACACAGAAGATACGGGGTGTTTTATATATAAATTCGATCCTTTTTTACATTTTAACATGGCTGGCTATGAAAATACATACAACACTATAATTCTTACTTTTACAAAACTCATATCTGTTGTAAAAATATGACGTTTATTTAATATATATATATCATATCTTTAGTAGTTTCTGAAATACCCTGAATTCCCATCGAAAATGGACCAGCCTGTACACATTGGATAGATGAGCGGCGGATGCGATGGAATAAACCAGGCTTGTTACGTATTTCTTCAACGGCATCTTCGATACAATTTCGCAACTGCTCTACATTCTCTACCTCGGTGTGATACACGACAGATTTCATATAACCCCATATACAAAAGTCCATAGGATTTAGGTCCGGCGAGCGCGCTGGCCATATTATAGGCCCTCCTCTCCCTATCCACCGTTTTGCCGGAAAATGCAAAATGGGCCGGAGCTCCATCGTGCATATACCACATATCTCGTAGCATCTGAAAGGGAAGACTTTCAAATAATTCTACTAAAAATTGAAAGTAACGCGGCCCATTCAGATGTTCAGGTAGAAAATGCGGCCCAATTAAACCATCGTCATATACTCCTGCCCATACATTGACACTGAATGTCCTCTGAAAGCTAAATCGACGAATAGTGTGCGGGTATATTCCTTAAAAAAAACAATCGGACGGAGACAAATTCCGGCACAATAAATAACTCGGTATATGTTTCCGACTTAATGCTAACCTGTCCAGATCACTAACCTTCTAAACCACTTTTCACTTGCACGTGCACTATATGACTATAGTAGGATCGTATTCGATGAAAAGTAGAACAAAAAGTTGTTGGTCTTTTATCAAAGGAAAAACGTGTCATCAATTTTAGGAGGCGTAAGATGAACCATTTCAAATTTAAAATGAAATTGAATGTAAAATCTGAAATACCGCTGCATACGCACTGTGTTTTGGTAGTAGCTGTAGTCGCCTAGGTGCATCGAGTGTACGAAGTGGTCGGTTATACGTCAAATACTAACCTGGCGAGCTTGGTCGTAAATCAGAGAGCGCCTCCAAAAAAACAAGTAAACAACAGTGGCGCGTACAGAGGTAAAATGTAGTACATATGTAGAATTTAAAAAACAAATTGGATTTATAATAAATTACATTTAAAATAAATAGTTTATGAGAATAAAGGAATATTTGTTGGAACAAGGGTGCCAGACGTGAACTGATCCCTTCGTCCATTCATAATGTATAAAGAAATTATTCAATTTCTAAAACCCTTAAAAGCATATTGCACTGACAGGCAATGATTTATTACTTTGCATCGAATATGATCCTACTGATAACTGACAACAATTGTTATTTATTCATTAATGTTGATGCTAAAACAACAAATGAATAGGCTGATTGTTATCGAATGTACGGTTATTACAATTTACCATTTTTAATATGATTAACGTTTTCACGTTTTATAATTTATTATATTAAATAATACACAGTATTATGTTCAATTTATTATTCAATATGCAGTTGCGTATAACCAAAGTTTACATATTACGTATTGTTTTTGAGAAAGTAATAAGTTTTTTACCTGTTTAAAATGCCAGCACGAGTAAAACAGCATTCATCCGTCCAGAGCACTTTGTTAATAAAGTTAGGTTCTGGTGCACTTCGATTTAGGAACTTGCAAAATTCAAGACGATTGGGGAAATCAGCTGCTTTTAAAGCTTGAACTTTTTGAAAATGGTACGGGTTGAGTGAATTCTTGCGCAATATCCGCCAAACTTTGGTTTGTGATATCTCCAATCGTCTTGAAATTGTTCTTGTGGAAATAGTAGGCTGCTCCTCGACTAAATTTAAAACAGCCTTTATCACATTTCAGTCATTTTGTCGATGTCCTGCACGTTCTTTGCGCGGTATGGTAGACCCCGTGTCGCGAAGACATTGAACGGTTTGCACAATTGTCCGCGGGCTTGGGAAGTTCCGTCTATCAGGGAAACGACTCCGAATTGCGGCGGCATTTGTGTCCTGTACACACTCCTTATAAAATCACCATATCCACATATTCGGCATTCGTATACAAAGCCATCACGACCGACACTTTAAACAATCCGAAATAAACTAACGGTTTCGTGTGTCTTTCCAATCCACATCCCCTCTCAATCTGTATGCTGTGTTCATTCCTTTGCGGAAAAATGCGGGAAAGTGGTAGATTGGAATAAACGCTTTAATGGTTTTGTAATCGTGTATAGTGTATTTTGTATATTCGGGTATTTAGTGTGCCGACTTTTTTATTTGATAAAATATGGTGTGCCTACAAATCTCTGCTTTGTTTATTTTCTTTTAACGAAAGTTGACTTCGAGAAGTCAGGCTTGTTAAAACATTTTGCACTAAGTTAATACAATTGTTAAAATTATTTATA